GGCTGGAGGTTTCCGTTTTCGGCCTCAGGGGGCCTTCGCCAGGCTTAAGGACAATCAGCAAGGATTCAGAATCGAAGCCCGGCCCCAGGGGATGGGTGGATAATTTTGTGGGTCGACGTTATGAACATGGCGCCGGTGGCCTGGATAAGATAGGACCTTTTCGGGCTCAGGATTCAGATAGGCGGCGAGCGCAACGGGGAATGCAGAGGGGCGGCGGGCCTTCTCAGAAGGCTCGGAAAGCCTCTGGCCTTCTGAGCAGTTGTCTACGCCTTCGCCGAAAGCTGGGCCGACTTCTCACAATGGCCGGAGGGCTTCTGAGAGGCCCCGCCGCATTCTCAGAAGGCATGCCCCGCTCTCTCTCCTCCCCAGGCGCGTCGCCGATCAGAGGAGGGGGTGCCCTGAGATCCTGGTGCTGCAGTTTTGCACAGCGGGCGACTGGCCGGTTTCGGGCCCTTGGGCCATCACAGATTCTCATCCGGCTCGGCAAATGTGGCAGAACGAGGGGGTCAGGGCCTCCAGCCGTGATTTTCCATGCAGTTTGGCTTGGTCTGGCACGAAGCCTGTGTTTTCTGAACGAGTGCCCGTGCTCTGTTAAAAACAACGAGTGCTTTGACTTCTGCTGCGTTGTTTTGAGGTTGTCTATTCATCTTGGTTCAGTCGTGATTTTCTGTGATCGTGCAATGATCTCGTGGCGTCGGATCCTCGGGGTGTGGCGGCGGCGCCGCCGCTGCCGCGCTTGGCGGCGCCCACTGCTGCCGCAGGCGCGCCGCGGCGCGGCTTCAGAGGAGGGCGGATCGAGACGAAGGCAGTTGGCCCTCGAGGGGAGGCCTTCCCGAAGAAGAAAGCACGGCATAAACATAAACTGTTGGCGCTCCGTGCGGATTTCTGGGATCCGCGCTGGGCCCCCCCGGCGGCGCCTCTGGCGCCGCCCCTGGCGCGCTCCGCGCGCCAGGCGCCAGTGAGGGGGGTCCGGCACAGATCCAAGAAACCCGCGCGGAGCGTGCAACAGTTTATGTTTATGTTGTTTTTTTCTTCTTTTGCCCTCGTCGCCACGGCTGGACGCAGCTCGGACAATTGGTGCGTCTGGAGCCCGGGAGGGGTCCGGAGATTGCTTTTTCGGGGCTCAAGAGACGGGGATCAATGCAAACGGGGGTCAGCCAGGGCGCCGGATTTAGTTGGATCTTGCAGAGCCAGGGCTGCACTGACCCCGGTATTGGGTGCAGGATCCTGCGGCATTTTGCAGGACCCTTCGCGTGGACCTGGGCTTGGGGCGCAGGATCCTGCAGGATCCTGCACGGCCTGACTGACACGGGTCTGGATTGACCCGGGTCTGAAGATCCCCGAGCTTTGAGCTGCCCGTGTCTCAACCAGCCTCGCTCCGAAGGGAGGACCACCTCTCGGGCTCGGGAGGGGCCCTGGTGTGCGGCCAGTTGCTCAGGGCGCTGGCTCGGACGGCCCGTCAAGGCCCAATTCGACTCCTCCGATTCGATTCGACTTCGATCGATTCCGATTCCGATTCGATTCGGCTTCGTATTCCGATTTCTCAATGGAGGCCTTCTAACCTGCCGATGTCTACCGACTCGACGTTTCCCGACTCGGCTGCCGATTTCCGCCGATCCGATTCATTTCGATCGCCGATCCGAGTTATCGATTCGATTCTGGCCTCTCCTGGTCCGTTCGTCTATCCTTTTTCGCGCTCCTTCCAGTGGGGGCCCATGCCAAGAAACACCCTGCGTGCCTCCAGGGTGCCCTGGGTTTCGTGGGCTTCGAGGGTTTTGCCATGGGAAGCGTGACGTGCCGACACCACAAATCGATGGACGTCTTCGGGTCTCAGGGCTGGGCTTCTTGTGGAGTGTGTCTTGCAGTCGGGCCCTTGCTGTATGGCACAGTGGCACGGTGACTGTATCGATGGCACGCCACCGTTGGCCGAGTAGGAGGAATCGACCCCAGCGCATGCGTTCGGTGGTCCTTGCGGCTTTCTCGCATCGGCGCCAGGCTCCACTGCCGGCGCCTCCTGCACCGCCGCTGGTGCGCTCCGCACGCCAGCGGAAGGGTGGGGCAGCGCCGATCCGAGAAATCTGCGCGGTTCTCCGACAGTGTACGGCAGGTTCGTGTCGTGTCGACCGGCGGCGACCCCGCCAGCCGCGTTCAACGTTGAGCGCCGCGGGCGACCCAGAATCGCTCGATGTGGAACGAACTGGACGCTTCGGAAACGGCCGATCGTTCAAGGTTGAACGATCCCCGCGGTGTCAGAGACCAACGCCGAAGTCGGCACGGCACGCATCTGACGTATGCTCAAGCCGTTCCCTGTGCCTCTTGCTGTGAGCCCGTCAGCGCGTCGCCCCCTCGTTCTTTCGGGGGAGCGTAAGACCCGGGTTTGCCAGGACTCGGGTTCGCCATCGTTTTTTGACGACCGCGGCTCGGATTTTGACGAGGAGGAGTTTCGTGGGATGTCTGCAGCGGGAGGCCTCATCAAAATGCAGGCTCGGCCTCGTCATTTTTTTGACGACCTCGTCGGGGATTTCCGAGTCCCCCGTACCCGGGTCTTACGTCTCCCCGATTCTTGTTCGAAGACCTGGCGTTGCTTCCGCAGCAGCTGCCACGCCGAGGGGCATCCCACGGCGGGCTGCCCTGGCTTCCCCGCCCGTGGCAGCCCCGAAGGACCCTGCAGGGCCGAGGGGGACCGGGGATGGAGGCTCAAGGAATCTGGGGTTGATCCTCTACTCAGGAGGAGAAAACACACAGACACAATTGATCGTCGAGTCCCAGGAAAGTATTTGAAAATATAGGAAGTGGGGGGGAAGACGAAAACCTAGAAAATATTTGAAAATATGGGGAATATGTTTATTTGTGTGTATTTATTTGTTTGTCCTGGGGCCTCTTTATTGACGCCCGTGGCAGCCCAGGAGGACCCTGCAGGGCCGAGGAGGACCGGGCAGCGAGGCTCGATGCGTCTGGGGTTGATCGCTTGTTTCTGGCTGCGCTCCGTAACCCGTCCCCCCTGAGCGGCTCGCTCCGTCTGCCCCATCTTTCGGCCGCGCCCTCCTCCCGCAGGCGATCGCAAACATGGATGCGTGGGGGCGTGGATTGGCGACGGGTCCCGTTTCCACGGGAAATCGCGGATTCCGCCGCCGTTCGAGGCGGCACGGGCCGCATGTTGGGGAGAGCACCTCCCCCGATCCATGCATTTGGCGACCGCGCGCCACATCCGCCCCCGGCTCCCACTCCTGCTCCTGCACGGTGGCACAGGTCGCTCCAACGGTATCCCCGTTTAGGCCCGATCCATTCGCCAGCGCAGACGTCCCTTGCCCAGCCGCCGACGCAAAGATGTTTGGCTGCGCTCCAGGGGTTCGCTGCCGCGGTGGGGTGTCCCCAGGCGCCGCCCGGCCACGCTCCTGGGCAGGTCTGGCCAGGGTCGATCCGAGGCCCCGCCCGGGTCGGACGAGAGGGTGGGGGAAGGACAGTCTAAGCCTTTTAGATGGGGTAGGAGTAGATGGTGTCGGGGGATCGCGCCGCGTCGCCGATGCATCGGCGATGCGGCTCGATGCGGAGCTCGATTCTCTCCACGCCGACGTCGCCGACGCATCGCTGACGTCGCCAGTGCATGGCCGATGCATCTTCGATGCATTAGCGATGCATCGCTGATGTATCGGCGATGCGGCGAGATCCTACGACCCCATCTACTCGGACCCCATCTAGGAGGCCTCTAGGGCTCCAGGGACAGGGGGAGGGTCATGAATTCTGCTGCATGCGGCCCGATTCTGCCTCGCCGCCGGGCGCTTTCCTCCGTACAGCTTTGGCGCCGCCGGCGCCCGGAGGCGCCTGGAAAACCAGTTGCGTCCGTTGCTTTGCGATTCCCCCCTTTGGCTGCTGCCCCCATCTGTCCGACCAGACCCTGCTCGGCTCGAGCCGATGCAAAATTACGGCGGAGGGTTCCTGGCCATCTTCTGCTCCTGGGGCCCATATCTATATGCCCTGGATTTCACGCTGGGCCTCCTGTGGAAGGGTCGAGAGTCAAGACATCCAGGGGTCTACGTCTACGTTGTGGCAAAGTCACGATGTCGGGTGTCTGGGGATGAAGGTGGACGAGTAGGAGGAGGAGGAGGAGGAGGAGGAGGAGGAGGAGGAGGAGGAGGAGGAGGAGGAGGAGGAGGAGGAGGAGAGTGATGATGGGAGAGGGGAAGGAAGGAGGTGTAGGATGGAGGAGGAGGAGGAGGAGGAGGAGGAGGAGGAGGAGGAGGACGAGGGCGGAGGTCGATTTTTCAGCATCGGCCAGCGAAGCCACTCTGCACACACCCCTCACCACATCGGGCAGCCTGAGCTGCGGATTGAGGGGGCGGGCAGAGGCCGTTCGCGACCAGGATGTGGAGGAGGATGAGGAAGAAGATGCGGAGGAAGAGTAGGCCGAAGAGGTGAGATGGTTCCCCTCCTCCGTCCCCATCCTCCCCCTATCCTGTTCCTCCTCTTCCTTCCTACCCTCCTCCTCCATCTTGCCTAGTCCGACGTGGTGTCCTGACTGATGGAGTCGTAATCCTTCTCCTTCATCCCCCCTCCTGGACGCATCCTCCCGGTCCTCCTCCGTGAACAGCCGCATCCCCCTCCCGCCCACCCGCAGCGCGCCCCGTCGCGCGCGGGCGGGCGCGCCAGGTGTAGACGGAGGCGGAGAAGGCGGGGCGGAGGAGGATGAGGAGGAGGAGGCGGAGAAGGAGAAGGAAGAGGAGGAGGAGGAGGAGGAGGAGGAGGAGGAGGAGGAGGAGGAGGAGGAGGATAAGGAGGCGGACCATAAGAGAAGGAGGCAGAGGAGGAGGAGGAGGAGGAGGAGGAGGAGGAGGAGGAGGAGGAGGAGGAGGAGGTGGGGGAGGAGGAGGAGCACGGGAGGCGGAGGAGGAGGAAGGGGGAGGGATTGCCTCAGCTGTCCCAGGTGTATGTATCGGTAAGGCACGAGTGGTTGTGGCACCGCTCTGGCCGATCGGCACCCCGATCGTGGGACGGCCACCGAGGTCGTCAGGAATTTGCCGCAGGAGGTGAAGACCCAGATTCCAGACTGCATGGCTCCTCCCCCGGAGGATTGTTTTCTGCTTCGTTCTGCTCGCAGGGTAGACTTCAAGCAGAAGGCGAATTGGAGGAGGAGGGGGAGGAGGAGGAGGAGGAGGAGGAGGAGACGGAGGATGAGGAGGAGGAGGAGGAGGAGGACGAGGAGGAGGAGGTTAGGAGAGGAGGAGGAGGAGGAGGAGGAGGAGGAGGAGGAGGAGGAACAGGAGGAGGACCAGGAGGAGGTGGGGAGGAGGAAGAGGAGGAAGAGGAGGGGAGAGGGAAGACGAGGAGGAGGATCCTCCCATGTGCGAGGCTCCTCTGCTCAATCCCGTGTCGCACTCCCGCGTGTCGGTGGTGCGGGCCAGGCGTTTCGCCTGAGACTTCCTCACCATTTCTGATCTTGAAGCTTGACGTTTCCAATAGCTTCACGCATTGAGGGCTGGCCGTGTTCAAAATGCTGTTCTCGTTGTAGCGCGCGCACAGTTGTTTTTCAAGCTTGCAGCAGCCTCACGGATGGCGGGTGGTCTGGATTCAAGAGAATGTGTTTCGCTTCAGTGCCGCGCATACTTGTTTCAACAGTTGGCAGAATATTCACGGATGAAAGGTGGTTATTTTTCAACATCTGGTTCTCGCGTTAGCGCCGCGCACGTTCGTTTCAGAGGTTCGTAAGGGTTTCATTGATGAAGAGCGGTTCATTTTCAAATTGTGGCCTTTGCCTCATTGCCGCGCGCAGTCGTTTTAAAAGCTTGCAGCAGTTTCACAGATGAGGGCGGCCCGTTTTCAAAGTATGGTCCTCGTATTCGCGCCGCGCACAGTCGGTTCAAAAGTTCGCACTGAAGGAGCGTGGTTCCTTTTCAAACTATGGTTCTCGCGTTAGCGCCGCGCACATGAGTTCCAGCAATTTACAAGGGCTTCACTGATTGAGGGCGGATCCTTCTCAAAGTGTGGCCTTCACCCTAGCGCGCACATGCGTTTCAAAAGTTCACACCAGTTTCACTGGTTATATTTGTTGAAATCCCATAAATGACGTTCCTGTGCGATTCAGGGTTGCCAGGGCGCAACAGTCACGTTGACTCGCGGTGCTGAAGTCCCAGGAACGGTAGTCTGCGATGATTTATTGGCTGACGCCGCAACGCCGACCCCTTGGGGCGGCAGTAAGAGTGAAAAGCGGAGTTTGCGGAACGATTTCTGGGAAACTTTGGCTTTCAGCTTCTTGGGATTTCGTCGGGGGCGGTTGGCGGATCGCCGCTCTGCTCTTGGGCTTTTCTGGGCTCTCCTGGCAGCGTTTTTGATGCCTCTTGGAAGCCGTTTTGAGGTCTCTAGGAGCCTCTTTTGGGCCTCTCGGGGGCCTCGTGGGAGCCTCTTGGGGGCCTACTGGCGCCTCCTCAGGTTTTTTCGGGGCCGAGTGCTCGAAATGTTCAATCGGGTTCCCCCTCTGGGCCTCCTCTTGGGGCCGTCCTGGGGCCCTCCTGGGTCGTTTTGGAAGCTTCTGGGGCCGTCTTGGGGCCCCCTTGGGCCGGCATGTCGCCGATCTATCGGCGATGTATCGCGGATTCTAGATCAATGATTCCCCCCCCCCCTCTGAGGGCTCTTTGGGGGCCTCCTTGGAGGGCTCCTTGGAGATTCTGCAGGCCTCGGAGAGTCCAAGAGGCTCTTCAGCTGCTCCAAGAGGCTCCTCGGAGAGCCCGAGAGGCTCTTCGGCGGCTCCGAGAGGCTTGTCGGCGGCCCCCAGAGGCTCGTCCGAGAGGCTCTTCGGTGAAGGGGGGGGGGAGGAGGCTCTTTGGAGACTCCCCCCCCTCTTCACCGCACTCGTTGATGATACCCTCCAGAGGAACCCTGGCCATACTAAGTCCCCCATATCGTTGCCCCTCAGTTTGCCCTCCTTCCCTCCACGCTCCCTTCGCGAAGGGTCTCGTTCCGCCCCGCCTCCTCCCCCATGTTCGTCCTCCGACGGACGGGCGCCGCTTCCTTGAAGCCTCCTCCTACTCCCTCTGCGGGAGGTGGAGGCGTTTCTAGCTGGAGAAGGAACACAGGGAGGATGGGGAGAACGCGGTGCTCGAAGAGGAAGAGGTGGACGAATACGAGGACGAGGAGGGAAGAGTATGACGAGGTGGATGACGAGGAGAACGAGGAGAAGGTGGACGAGGTCGAGGGCGAGGACGAGGACGAGGATGAGGAGGACGAGGTGGACGTGGCCGAGGATGAGGAGAGTCGACAAGTGGGGAAGTAGGAGTCAGAATCGGGGTTCCGCGTGAGTTGGGGACGTGCCCGTTGCGCTCTCCACCGGTCGCTCCATGTCGCAGACGCTATTGACGTCCACCCGCCGCCTAGGACCCCAGTCTCGAACTGAACTTCACGGTGGCGCGACCTCTCGCTTCTTTCACGTGAGGTTCCCGCTCTCTGCGGTCCTATCATTCTCTGTCGTTGCTTCGGTGTTCGCTTCCGCCCGTTGGCCCGCCTTCCCTCGCTCGCCTGCCGTGCATGCCCCCCCCACCCCCCACCCCCCACGTGGGAGGGACCCTCGTGTGCGGTCAAGTCCACTCGTTTTGACAGCCCGTGCCTGACACGAATGACGTCCGTCTGGCGATCGAGCATGTCTTGCGCCTCCTCATCCTACCCCTCATTCTTCCCATGACCCTGCTCCACAACCGCGTACACATGAGCTCGTTGAATACGTCCGAGACTATCTAAGACATGTTTAGCACGACGCACCACGACACGCAACACGTACAATCATAATCGTAACACGACGCCCGCGCAAAAGTCTGATCACGTTAGATGACTATCTGAAACTTTTTCGGAAAACCCGAACATCCGCCTGCGCCCCCCTTGCGCTCCTTGCCTGCTCCTTCCTCCCCTCCTCTCCCTCCCCCTCTTCCATCCTCCTCTCTCCCTCCTCCCTCCTGCATTATGCTCCCCTCCCCATTTCCGCCTCCTGCCCCCTCCTCGCCTCTTCCCTTCGTCGTATCCCTCCCTCCCGGGCAGTCCGGCAGGCTGTTCCATCTGTGCTGGAAACGCGGCTACGTTCTACCCCCTCCCTCCCTCCCTCTCTCCCCCTCTCCTTACAATCAAATACTCTAGGACTACTATTCCCCGCTCTTCGCTGTACTCTGAGTCCCTCAATAGTTTTGGGCCCTTGGACTACAATGCCCCCCCGGAGTACAAGGGCCCCCCCCCCCACACTACAAGGGCCCCCCCCGGACTACAGGGACCCCCCCCCAGACTACAAGGGCCCCCCCCGGACTACAAGGACCCCCCCCCCCCGGACTACAGGCCCCCTCCCCGGAGTACAAGGACCCCCCCCCCGGACTACAGCGACAACGCCCAGCACGAGTGCTTCGGGCTGCCACAAAAAGAAAATTGCCACGGTCTGAACGACGAATAAGCACTGTACTGCACGACGACGACTGTGGCCACTTTGGCTTGGCCCTTTGCGTGGGGTGCATATCCGCGGTCGTCGAGCGGGGCGTCGCCCCGCGAAGATCACGCCGGACTTGGACTGGGACTACCCCCCCCCCCCCCCGGATTACAGGGCCCCCCCGGACTACAAGGAGCCCCCCCCCGGACTACAGGGCCCCCCCCCCCGGACTATTGGTCACCCCAAAACTATTGAGGTACTCAGAGTAGTTGCCCAGCCCAGAAGATGTCCCGCCTCCCTCCGCGCCGTGTTTTTTTGCGCACGGTTGGGCCGAGAGTTTGTTGGCTCATTTGGTTTGTCTACAGTCCGATTTTTTCCAGTGCTCCAGAAATCGTGTTCTCGCTGCAGCGTGGGCCTTATTTCTGGATCGACGCTGTGCTCCCGTCGTTGACAACGGCGCTCCTTCCCTAGCGTGGGCCACTTCTGTGCATCCCACAGATCTCGCAGGTCGCACAGATCTCGCAGGTCTCGCGGTCCCCACAGGTCCCACGGGACCCACAAATGTCGCAGGTCGTCCCATATGTCCCACGGGTGTCCCAGTTCTCACATGCCACACACGTTCCTCAAGACCCACAAGTGTTGCAGCTGGTCCCACAGGTCCCACAGACCCCACAGATCCCACAGATCCCATAGTTCCCACGGAACTCACAGGTGTCGCAGGTCGTCCCACAGGTCCCACAGGTGTCGCAGGTTTCGCATGCCCTACAGGTCCCACAAGTCCCAGAGGTCCCGCAGGTTCCGCAGGTCCCAGAGGAGTCGCATGTCTCACAGGTCCCACATAGGTTTGTCCCACAGATCCCACCGATGCCACAGGTCCCACAGGTCTTGCAGGTCTCACAGGTCCCACAGGTCCCAAAGATCCCGCCGATGCAACAGGTCCCACACGTCCCACGTGTCACTCAGGTGTCGCATGTCTCACAAGCTATAGAGGTCCCCCGAGTCGCACAGGCCCCACAAGTTTCCCTTTGCAGATTGGGTCTTTTGTGGAGTCCCAGGTCGGTTGTGACATGCGTCCGCGGAGGAAGAACAAATCAGCGCCCTGGGAAGCGATGGGAGGGAGGGGTGTCGGGCGCAGCGCGGGCGCACCTGGCCTGACCCTTCTCTCTCCCTCCTCCCTGTTCGTCCCGGGCTGCCGCCGGATGGTGGTGGGGGGCCTTGCGCACTCCGGGGAACCCAGGCCGCTGGCGAGGTTGGAGGATGAGGGTCCGGATGAAGAACGAGCATGGACGGTCGACGACGTATGGTCTTTAGGCTTCCCACATGTGGTCCGAGCAAATGGGGTCGGAGAAACGCTCGGCATCGCCGATGTATCGGCGATGCGACTCGATGTGGATCCAGTTTTGCTTCACGTCGACGTCGCCGATGCACCGCCGACGTCGCCGATGCATCAGCGATGCAGCCCGGTCTTCCGACCCCATCTGCTCGGACCCCATCTAGGAGGCCTCTAGGATCGGGGATCACGATGGTTGGGGGCTCTTTGAACGGTTTATCTACAGTTTGCCTCTATAGGCCTCTGCAGCCATCGGGATATCTCCAGACACTTCTGAGACGCCAGGGACCCAAGGTATTATGCAAGAGAAGGAGGAGGAGGAGGAGGAGGAGGAGGAGGAGGAGGAGGAGGGGGAGCATGTCTAAAAAGGATGAGCAGTAGAGATGCAGAAAAGAGGAGGGAGGAAGAGGATGCCGATGAGGAGTGATAATAAGGGGGCAGAGAAGTGGGGACAGTGAGGACGGATGAGGAGTAGGATACGGATGATCAGGAGGAGGAGGAGGAGGAGGACCAGTGGAAACCAAAGACTCACGATGTTGGGAACCCTCCCTCCAAGCTTTCTCTTCACAGGCTCCTACAAGGGTTCATTTCCAGTGAGGGAGCTGCCGCGCGGGGAGACAACCGCTTGAAGACCCTGAAGCGTGCCACAACACCATTCTCGGGACTCCAACGCCACGAATCAATCTGACTGTTGCACCTTGACAGTCTTAAATCGTGCCAGAAGAAATTCTTGGGACTTCAACAGTATTCCTGGGACACCTTTCCGTAACTGTTACGCCCTCTCACTCCTGAGTCCTTCTAAAACACAGTTTCTGGCACGTTGACCATGGGAATATCTTGCAATCTTTACAGCGAGTGTGCGCGGCGCTAAGGCTAGAGCCGCATTCTGAAAAAGAACCGCCCTCAACACATGAAACTCTTGCAGATGGTTTAAGACGACTGCGCGCGGCGCTAAGGCGAGAGCCGCAATTGGAAAACCACCCGCCCTCAATCCGTGAAACCCTTCCACATTAAAAGCGAATATGAGCGGTGCTAAGGCGAGATCCACAGTGTAGGAGCTGCCCGACCTCCATCTGTGAAGCTGTCGTCAGCTTTTTATCTTTCAGGTTCATGAACGGCGAGGAAGTCTCAAGCGAGACGCCCAGCCCACCTTTTCGCCTGGCCTTGGGGTGCGACAGTGAGAAGCTATAATTCAGGTGAAGGGATGAAGGAGGAGGAGGATGGGGAGGAGGAGGAGGAGGAAAACGGATATTGAAGATGATGAGTGTATGGGAGGGACAGTACGAGTATGAGTAGGACAGTGAGTATTGCACCTTCTGAGAACATTGTGGAGGGCTATGGTGAGGGGGAAAGAAGAAAGAGTAGCCGCATGACCAGGACGCGGAGGTTTTCAGAGATCGACCACCCCATCCATCCACACACTACACCCATCGCCGCCTTGTCTCTCCGCTCCGCCTACCCCGCCCCGCCAGTTCTTCCTTCCAGCAGCATGTGCTGTCATACGGTTTGGTACTCTGATGGGGACGAGGAGGACGAGGCAGATTAAGAGGACGAGGGAGCACAATGAGGACGTCGACAACGGTGCCAATAGAAGGACAAGGCGGGCGGCAAGGCAGTTGGGTAGGGGATCGAGAAGAAGCAGGCCGAGGACGAGCAGGGAGAAGGGGGAGGAGTAGGAGGAGGAGGAGGAGGAGGCAGGAGGCAGGAGGAGGGGGATGACTTGGAGGTAAGCTTACAGAGATCTCGATGGCGACGAGGTTGACTCGCGGCGACCGCCTGGCTAGCGACGGCCACGGCGGTGGGCATGGACGCAGAGCCGGCGGCGGCGGCGGCGTCTGGGCGCGGTCTGGCGCCCGGCGAGGCGGAAGCCAACGCCAGGCAAGGTCTTCCAGGGCACGGGCTGCCCGCGCAGGCGCGCTTTGTCGCGAGCGCGCGGCGCCGCCGTCGCCGTCGCCGTCGCCGTCGCCGTCGCCGTCGCCGTCGCCGTCGTCGTCGTCGTCGTCGTCGTCGACGCCAGTCGTCGCCGTCTGACTCGCCGCCGTCATCGTCGTCGTCGTCGTCGTGGTCGTCGTCGCCAGTCGCCAGTCGCCAGTCACCATCACCAGTCGTCGCCGTCGTCGTCGCCCGTCGTCGCCGTTGGCGACGAGGCCGACGAGGACCACGAGGGCGACGAGGGCGACGGCGAGGAGGGAGTAGAACTGTGGATCCTCTGTTCGCACAATCTGGGCCTCCCCTTTGGTCTCCCTCGTCGCCACGGCTGAACCCGCCTGGACATCCTTGTCTTCGTCCGCTGCAGGAAATGTCGGGGGATAGATTTTTGAGTGTCGTCGTCGTTGTTTTTGCGAGGTCCCGAGAGATTTTGCGGGGCCCCATGGCTGGGGGTACGAAGTGTTGCGATATTGGTATACAAGCGTCTGTTTCAGAGATCCATCAGGCGGAGCTAGGACAAGGATCTATCCTTTCCAGGCGTTCCGGGACGCTCTCAGAACGGTCTGGAACGCTCTGAGAAGTCCGTTGCACACAGAACATCCTCTCTCGATTTATCCTCACCCGATGTTGTCTTCGTCCTGTCTTCGCGTCGCTCCGTCGCAGTGTGCGAGCGCAGAGCAGCTTAGCGTGCAAGCATTCTGGGCTGATACCGCCCCAACTGAACTGAACTGAACTTCGTCCCGTCTTCATCTTCAGCCAGGCGCCGCGATCCAACTCACGACATGTATCGTTTCAGGGTTCGGCCCTTCGGAGAGAGGCCGCTTCCGAGCCCTGCCCGTGATTTCGGTGCAGCGGCCCGCGCCGAAGGGATGGGTCTGGGACAGCGGGGGTCGAGAGCCCCAGGGCCCACGTCGTGAGCCGAGCCACGGTGGCGGAGGTCTGGGGCGGGGCCCTGCGGCGGAGAGGAGAGGTGCACCGACAGGCCAGCCACAACTGGGGGAGCTGCGGTCCTTGCCCCCCCCCTGGGGGACCCATCGATTTCGACACCCCTCTCGAGAGATCGTCGAGGCGATGGGTTCCCCCAGAGGGGGTGAGGACCACGGCTCCCTCAGTTATGGCTGGTCGGATTGAGCGTCGGGAGCCTTGAGACGGAGGCGTAGAGAAGAGGTCCATCGAGCGTCGGGAGCCTTGAGACGGAGGCGCAGAGGAGAGGCCCGTTGAGCGTCGGGAGCCTTGCCACGGAAACGGAGAGGAGAGGTCCGTTGAACGTCGGGAGCTCTGAGACGGAGGCGGAGAGGAGAGGTCCATTGAGGGTCGCATCACGGGGGTGCGACGGTAGTCGAAGAAGAAACACCCACATAATCATAAACGTTTGGCGCTCCGTGCGGATTTCTTGGATCCGCGCCTGGGCCCCCCGGCGGCGCCGCCGCCACTGGCGCGCTCCGCGCGTCAGGGAGGGGGGTCCAGCGCGAAGCGCCAAACGTTTATGTTAATGTGTGGTTTGTTTTTCTTCCAGGCAGGGGGAAACAATTAGTGGACACTCCCCCGCTGCCCCCAAACTCCAAAGTTGACACGCGCAGGGGGGGAGATTTGCGGTCGAAGAGCAACTCATCTGACCCACCGCCAACTCTGAACACTGGGGGGAGGGGGAGGCGTGGGCCGATGACTGTGGCATGCGCTACACTCGGGGCGCTCAAGAAGGAACCCTTTTCGTTGGGGAGGGGCTCGGCGTTCCTTGATTGTTTTACAGTTTGCCTTGGGTTTTCCCATGGGAAATCGAAGTGTATCTCATGGGAAAAAGGGGCCTCGTTCCTCATTTAGGGTTCCTTTTAGGTCAACGCCCCGACTGTAATTTCTGTTCCGAGGCAGCGAGGGCTGCAGAGCAGGGGCCCCGGGAAGGGGCCCGCCCGGGCCCCGCAGGGGGCCCGTAGGGCCCGAGAAGTGCACCTTTCCCCCCCCCCCCCCCCCACTCTTCCTCCCCTTTCATCGCCAAGGACCGCCGCCCCCGCCCCCGCCGCCGCCGTCGTTGCTCGTGTCGTAGTGTGGCTAGGTGTCGTTACTTCGCTTCGCGATCGGTCCTATCCTATCCTACCCCCCCCCCATCGGAAGCTGGAACATATACTCACCACCCACCAAGCCACCCCAACCCAACCTGGAGGCCTCAATCTGCCGTCCACTTCCAGTGGGGGGGGGTCCGGGAACATCGGAAAAACAGATATGGGGGCCATACCCCCCCCTACCCCGAAATTCGGGTCTTCGGGTTGGGTTGGGGTGGTCTGGTAGGTAGTCATATACATTACCATTGGCGGGTTTCGTTTCAACCCCGCGACTTTTTGTGAGGGTCGGCGACGACGTCGCGGTGTGGCGTGTTGTATACTTTTGTTCCCACTTCCCGGGGGTGAGAAACATCAAGACATGTGTACACCAGGATCCGTGTACACCAGGACCCTCTTTCCTGTGCGCATTTCAGTGCGGGGCCGGAAAAAAGCGTCGGTGTATAGAGTTCGGCTCCTTACTTAAGCGACGCCCCGTCCAGTGCGATTTCAGTGGAGCGTTCGGCACAGTTTGGGCCGGTCCGCCCTCTCCGTCGCGCTGCGGTCGGGTGTGCACGAGAGACGAGCGGAGGCGATCTCGCTGCACTTCCCACTTGTCCAATCGTGGGCGGTGGCTGGGCCGTGGAAGCGTGCGCCTCCCTGGGGCGGGGGGGGGCGAAACGTGCGCGGAAGAGAAAGAAGAAGACACGTAATAATGATAAGTATAGTAATAAGGGATACCAAGAATAATAAACATAGAAAACAATGCTACGCACCGTACGTACTCAAGAGCGCGAAAGGAACTTTTCGTCGAATTAATGACATTCGTAGCAGTAATGCATGGTCGATTTCAGGAGCTGCCAGCACTGCCGTTGCTTGGAACGTTGATGCGCGCGCCTGAACATGGAATTCTTCACGCTTCGCGTATCCCAAGCAGTCCGTAGCCCCGCTGGCTCAAGTCCGTTGCCACCCTTGGCTCAAGCCGTCTCGGCTCGAGCACGCCCCCTTTTCAGGTGCGCGCCTGCCGGGACTGCTATTTCTCGGCCGCGATGGTTCTGCAATCGTGGGACTGCAACGGCCGCGCTGCCGCAGGCTCTTCCGGCCGCTGGCAGCAAGCAGGAGAGCAATGGGGCCGAGGGCGCCCCTCTGACCAGTGGGCGGAGGCCGCAGCTTCCCTCGGCGGGGCGACGGCGCGGCCGAGGGCCGCCTGGCAGGCCGCCGCAGGCTGGCTGCCTCTGGAGGCCGCTAGCCGGCCGCCGACGCGGGCGGGCCGCGGCACAGACCACGCACCTCAGGCGCAGCCCCTTGAGACTGCTTCGGCCCGACGCAGACGGCAGCGCGGTGCCGCCGGCGCCGCTGGCGCCGCGGGCGCCGGGCACGACGCTGGCGCCGCCGCCGCCAGCGGGGCCGCGGGCGCCGCGGGCGCCGCTGGCGCCACCAGCGCCGCTGGGGCCGGCGCCGCGGGCTCGGCGGCTGGCGCCGCCGCCGCCGCCCCTGCGGCCGCCGGCGCCGCGGCTGCCGCCGCCGCCGCCGCGCCGGAGGCGGCCGCCGCGGCGGCCGCGGGCCACGCAGCCGGCGCCGCGGCCGCCGTGGCCCGCGCGGCCGCCCTTGGGCCCGCCACTGCAGGCGCCGCCGCGGCCGCCGCGGCCGCCGCAGCCGTTGGCGCGACGGCGGCGGCCGCGGCGGCCGCGCAGCAGCAGCAGCAGCAGCAGCCGCTGCAGCTGCACCTGCAGGAGCAGCGGCAGCGGCAGCAGCGACAGCAGCATCAACGACAGCCGCAGCAGCAGCCGCAGCAGCGACAGCCGCAGCAGCAGCACCTGCAGCAACAGTCCCAGCTGCTGCAACTGCAGCTGCAACAGCAGCAACAGCAGCAGCCGCAGCAGCAGGGCAGCAGCAGCAGCAGCAACAAAACCCAGCAGCTGCAGCCGCAACATAACCCAGCAGCTGCAGCAGCAGCAGCAGCCGCAGCAGCGGCAGCAACAGCGGCAGCACCCCCAACCACAGCCGCAGCAGCATCTACAGGTGCTGCAGCAACAGCACCCCGCAGCTGCAGCAGCAACGACGCCCCCCTCAGCAGCCACAGCAACCGCCGCAGCACCCACCACCACAGCCGCACCACCAGCAACAGGTGCTGCAGCAGCAGCGACAGCAGCCCCAGCAGCAGCAGACCCTCCCCGGGGACGAGAGACCCGCGAACCTCAAAGTACCCTCTCTGACGACCAAAAGGAGGTACCCCTGCTCCCTGACAGCCTCCCAGGCACCTCTGGGAGCCAGCAGAACCCACGAGAAGACTCAGAGGTACCCTTGCTCCCCCAGCAGCAGCAGCAGAGCAGAGAAAAAGGAGAGGGAGGCCACGGCGGAATCGGCGGAGGCTGCGGAGGCCGCGGAGTATCGGGGGCCCGAAGCGGCGGGAGCTTCTGAAGGTGCGGAAGTGGCACATGCCTTCATCCGCGTCTCTGGACTAGAACCAGGCGGGCAGGGGGTGGCCCCCGAAAGTGCTGACGGCAGCCGCAACAGTCAGCTAAGCGAGATCCCGGAACAGCAGGGGCTCGCCTGCCACACCGTGCCACCCCCACCTCCCCCTCAAAACAATCAGACCGTCAGCAGTCCTCTGGGAGCGCCGCAGACCCAGCACGGGGGCCACGGACCAACCGCCCAGACGCAGGGCAGCGATGCCATCCACTGGCTCGTCGGGAGAAACCCCTTCGCGCCTATTCGCCCCCCTTCCCCTGCCAGTGAACCCACTCTAATGGGCGGCGAACCCCGGGCGCTCTCTCCAGATCGACGCCCAGGGCACGATTGACAAATAATATTATGCTCTGGCAACGGAAACTGCGTCACCGTACGTGCGCGCGCCTGGCGCAACCAGCGGCGCCCCCGAGACCGGCGAGAGCCCCGCGTTGACCGAAGGGGGCGCGCCCGGGAGCGACGGCGGGCGCAGCCAGCGAAA